TACGCACAATTTACTTGTAATCTTGAGTTTTAAGTAATATGCATTAATAAACAGTACTTTATGCATAAAAATGGTTTTTAAGAGTTTTTGTCAAATGATTTATAATATAGAATATATATTTTTTTGTATATATAATTTAATTTAAGTTTAATAATAAAATAATTTATTTTTGGTTTAATATTWTAAATTTTATAAAGATAATAATTAAGTATTCTGTTAGAATTTAATGATTATACTAATTATATTTTAGATTTTTTAATATTTAAAATGAGATGTTTATCCTGTATTTGATTGTGTTTATCTGCAGTTAGTTACACGAATTCAAATATGAGATGAAATTGGATAAGGATGAAATCGTTTAGGGATGAACGGGCTTAAGAGTTTTTAAGATTTTTAGGGGTTGTTTGTTTACCTCTTAATAGTTTCATTAAGAGGCAACATCTGAATCGTTAAGAGGTTAATCTTGTTTGGCAAAAAAAATTTGTCTCTTAATGATTCTAAAACCCTTTGAATGATTTTGTATTATGGATCTTCCTTAACCATTAAGAGCCTTAATTTCATTGTACACAATTACCAAACAATTATATTTCATTTTGTACTATATCATGAAAGTCTCTTAATCATTCTGACCACTAAATCATTCTGCACTAAACCATTCAGCAATTGACAAACAACTCCTTAGTCAAATGCTTTATAAGATAGTATATATATATATATATATATATATATATATATATATATATGTATGTATATGTATATATAAAATAGCTGGATACCATATATTTATATAAAATTATACAAAATATAGAATATTTGGATTTTTTTAAGAGGAAAATAATATATTTATATGGTAAAAATATAATATTGACGTCATGAGATGACATCATATATGTAAGTGGGGTGGGGGTGGTGTGGAAGGCAACGGTTCCTCAAACTACTGGTGGCCTTGTCTCCATCTTTGGTCACTTTCTAGTTTTTCCACAAGTGCACACTAACCCTAACCCACCCCACACCAAATAAACAACCACCATCAACCACCACTGCTGCCGCCATCACTATCGTCATCGTTGTCACAAATCCTTTGCTGATAATATCGAAAACTTGACCCGAGGTGAAAATCCCAAGATATGGATGAGATGAAGGCAATGATATGTCGGGATTCATTGTTCTATATACCGATTAAGCCAAATTTATGGTGACTCCTCAGTCTAAGGATTATGAAATTGATCCACAACGGAATCTTAAATCATCGATTTTAATATTGTGAAAAATAGTATCTATCAG